GGGGGGGGTAGGTTTGACAGCTCATTGGTTGTCCACGTGATTCCTCATGTTATCCTTGTCTGGCCAATATTTGAACATGCCAATTTACCTTACACTTCTTCTACTCTATGTAAGGAGAGGTGATTAGGTGAACCATATTCACAGAAAGGGTAGCAAATTGAAAGATAGAAGGAAAAAGGAACAAAGAATGGGAAGACTTATTAACTGTCTTCCTGTCTTCTCCAACCTACTCCCAGAAGCGTGAAGGGGAGGGGGAGGACTCAAAAATATTCCAACATTCACTAGATGTAAGTGTGCTTAGCTGCTACCTTCACTTTCTTTCATCTACAATTTCCTAGACAAATTCTGAAGAGAGACTGTGAGGGAGGGAGATAATTCACCTCCCTTTTTTGGTATGCCTCGGATCCAATGCGACATATTTTTTTCCCTGAAAAAAATACTGTATCACAAAAGTAAAAGGAAAAAATACATGGAGGAAGAAATGTGATGGGCTGCAAAGAACATATCTCGATTGAAAATGGAAAGAGACAAAAATATACTCTCGGTCCTTGATGGTAGGGGGGAGAGTTAGAGAAGTTTATCCATGATAAGTCGGGTTGCGATTGCGGAGGCGGTCGAAAAAGGCTCCTCTCTTTAGGTAACAGATCAAGAAGGAGGTTAAAGAAAGAAGCCATGAAAGTTGGTGAAGAAAGGGTTGGTGATGAGCTTCGGTCTTGATCATTTTGTGTTTGCAGATTTGTATGGTGAATCTTTCAGTTTTAAGCAATCTACAAGAGGAAGAAATCGGAGAGGTGTTTGGTTTGTGGGTGAAAGACTGATGCTATACAAGAAGGGAAAGACAACCGCTGCAACTTTCAACCTTAAGTAATACAGGTTGTAAAAGAATCATGCTATTGTTGTGGTTGTTTCGTTGGACTATGGCCTGGCAAGCATTGCTTATAACTCAATAAATGGAAGACTGCAGGTTTGGGCTACATTAAAAGTAATTTGAAGTTTCAAAATTCAGAAAATATAAGGTAAAAACAGAATGAAACAAGAAGTATTTCGACTATAATTAGCTTTAACTTTTCCTATTTACCATTTTGATGTCACGGAATATTGGACCTTCAAAGTTGGGCCTTGGAGCAACAGAGAAGTGCTATGTGTTTCTATGGGCAACTAGGGTTTGAAACTTGCAGCCTCTCCATAAAGGAGGGAAGGCTGCCTACATTCGTCTTCTCCCGAGCCTACTTTAGTGGGAGCCTTCTGACACTGGGGTCAACCTTAAAAAAGTTGGATTTGAGTAATTCGATGGTTTTTATGTCAATCAGAAGAAACCAAGCAGCTGAACTAACTCCAGAATTGGTTCTCTCACTAACAACTTAATACTCTCTGTTTATTCTTTTATTCAACACCCGTTCCTGTTTATTCTTCGCTCGTCCTACCTGCCAAAACAATACCAAAAGTGAAGAATAATAGGAGTTCGGGAGGAGAAAAGTGAAAATAAAAAATTGTGTCTTCTTAGAAACTACCTTGTCCTGTCCAGTATATTCTATTTGTTTTTGTGTTCTGCCCGATTATATTCTTATGAATATGACTTGGTCTAATTTTGTTATATGCAGGATCTCCATTTAGCAATTGAGATCACCATTGAGGCTGTTTTTGAATTTGTTGACAAGGCAGCACACTGTCTTCTGTCACCAATAGGCACCTTGAAGAAAGTGGTGAAGTGGTTTTATTCTTATAACAGCGGTCACGAGGATGTTCCCTCTGTTGGTTCAGGTCTCTCTGTTCCTGTGGATACCCTCGCGGAGAGTGATCCTACTCCTAGAGAACGGAAGACAGGCTTTAATTCCCTCAATACAGATGCTCGGACATGTCAAGATGTCATTACAGAGCTTGGGTGAGGGTTTTTGCTTGCATTTTACCTCTTCTAAGATCTGGCCTGTGCAGTTGTCTTTTTCTAAAAAAATATTGCCGACACAATTCAAGGGATCGGACATGTCCAATTCTTCTTAAAATATTTCTTAAGTTTGTCGTATTAATAAGAGGATATATTTTTAAAGTTTGGATCTAAAATATTTCACCAAATTCTTTAAAGGTCTGTAAAGTGCTGGATAAGAGTAGCATCTTCTCTGTACTTCTATTGTGTTAGTGTCTGCTGTAACTAATCCAGTGCGCGTAGAGAGTGCTTATTTTCTTGAAATACTAACTTTTAAGTTATAATGACCTCTAAATTGATTGGACATACTGCTTTTTGGACAAGAATTATATTACAAAATTTTTTAAGATTACAACTGTAAACAGGAAAATGAAAATCATTGACTTCCCAGTTTTATTTTGGACCAACCAGTGTTGTTTGGGTAGATATTGTCCTCTAGACTGTTGAAGCATGTTCTAAACCCTTCGTATTCATTATTCAGCAGTGCTTTGCTTTTCAAATAAAATTGGCATCCCAGTTATTCTCAGCATGCTACTCTTTCCTTTGTAGATACCCATATGAAGCTCTTCGTGTGGTTACTGATGATGGATATATTCTCCTTTTGGAGAGAATTCCAAGGTTTGCATTTCTGTTGTGATCATCATCACTACTTTATATCAGAGCTTTAAGGTGGATGCCCATTTATAGATATTGCTTGATGTTTCAAACTTAATTTTGCAGACGTGATGCTCGGAAGGTTGTTTATCTACAACATGGGGTTTTTGATTCATCCATGGGGTGAGCCTAACATCTCTTCTAACTCTTCAAAATCATTTTCCCTTTCTTAATTGGCGTATTCAACTTGTTGCATACTTGGGATAACATTGATGTCTCAGCATAAATTGCAAGTTTTTCCTTTGAGATCTGCTAGGCTTATAAGTAACTACTGCGTGATATTTTGGGTGAAATGACAGTCGATCAGATAGAAAGACTTGGGAAGTACCAAATCATTGGTTCTATGCCAGTTGACTGTCTAAGCAACACTTTGAACAACTATGGATTTTTTTCTTTTTTCCCCTTCACAGGTTTCTAAGTAGATCAAACTATGATATGCGTATGTGCTAATTAGTTCGCTAGGGAGTTGGGATAAAGGACTAGGATTATGGAATGTTGAGCAGGGAGTTCAATATTTTGCTTTTCTCATTTTACATATTCATAATGTCAAAATATCAGAGTGATCAGGAAAGCAGGATTAGGATAAGTTAATTTGCTACTGTAGCTGAACTACCTTCTGGGCGAAGCCAAGTATGTTCAAGAAACTTTTTTGCCTGGAGAGGGTCTATTTTCTATATGGGCATTGATGAAGGTGTAGAATTGGTATAGGCTATCAATTTATACCTTCTGAGGATGAGATCGACTATATCTGGCACTTTGATCTTGCGGATTGTGCGCATTATATCTCATCCCCCGCCAAATCATACAAATTGAGGAGGCATCTATTTGTCGATATTTGATCTATGTTGCATTGAGACGTAGTAGTCCTTCAATTTTTAGTTCTTATGTTTTCCTTTTTTAATACTGTGAAGATCAGCCCTAACTTTCAATTGCATCGTTAAGATTTACGGCTATGATCAGTTCTAACTTCTAACTGTCAATTGCATCGTTATTTTTTCTATTTAATCTCTCACTTGGTGATTTGACTTATAGTTGGGTATCGAATGGAGTTGTTGGTTCCCCAGCATTTGCAGCTTATGATCAAGGTTTGTCCTTTGTGCTGTTGTGTCAACTAATTTTTTGGGTGTGCATATACTGTAAACTCTCCTGAGATAATTATGTAGTATTCAAGCTTGTCTTTCTTGATTACAGGGTATGATGTTTTTCTAGGAAATTTCCGTGGATTGGTCTCAAGAGAGCATGTTGACAAGAACATATCCTCACGCCAGTAAGTGTATTACTTCATGCATCCCCCATCATGTATAAAATGTCATTAGACTCCTTTTTGAAGAAAAAAAGTTTCTTCATATTTTGTGTGTTTGGTGGTTGTTGAATTGCTATAAGTTACTTTAGTTCCTAAATGTGGATGTTCATGCAGGTACTGGAAGTACTCCATAAATGAGCATGGGACACATGATATACCTGCAATGATAGATAAGATCCACAAAACAAAAGTTACTGAATTGAAAAATAGCCAAAAAACTGTGGAGGAAGAGAGCGACAATGATCAACCTTACAAACTTTGTGCAATTTGCCATAGTTTGGGAGGAGCTGCTATTCTAATGTACGTCCTAACACGTCGAATTGAGGAAAAGCCCCATAGACTTTCAAGATTAATCTTATTATCACCTGCTGGGTTTCATCATGATTCCAATCCTGTATTCACAATGATGGAATACTTATTCCTACTATTGTCTCCTCTACTTGCCCCTTTTGTGTCAGCTTTCTATATACCCACTCGTTTTTTCCGCATGCTGCTTAACAAGTTGGCCCGTGATTTCCACAACTTACCAGCAGTTGGAGGCCTTGTGCAAACTCTCATAAGCTATGGGGTTGGTGGAGACAGTTCAAATTGGGTTGGAGTCTTAGGGTTGCCGCACTACAATATGAATGATATGCCAGCTGTTTCATTCCGTGTGGCTCTTCATTTGGCACAGATCAAGCACACTCGGAAGTTTATAATGTTTGACTATGGGAGTGCAGCTGCAAACATGGAAGCTTACAGTTCCCCTAAGCCTTTAGATTTGGGGGAGTACTATTCCCTTATTGATATTCCTGTTGATCTTGTTGCTGGGCGGAAGGACAAGGTCATCAGGCCATCCATGGTAAGGAAGCATTATAAGCTGATGAAGGATGCAGGTGTGGAGGTGTCATATAATGAGTTTGAGTATGCTCATTTGGATTTTACATTTTCTCATCATGAAGAACTATTGGCCTATGTTATGTCTCGATTATTGTTAGTAGGCGCTTCTATGAAACAACAACCTGGGCAAAGATCGTTAAAGCTGAGGAGAAAAGAGGGGGAAGCCAGCAGCAAGTGTAAACACTACTAGAGCCCGACACCTTTGATGTTTTGGATGCTCCAAATTATTTGGTGTTCCATGTAAGACGTGTATGTTACATATACAGAAAAATATAGAGAACATGGGGTCATGAAAGTGTACCAGTGAGAGCGTTGGCTCCTTTGTACATGCCCACATATTTTTCCAAGGAGATAGAATTGTATTGGATGGTGTAGTGTAAGAGATTTAGGTGTGGTTTTGTGAATATTGCTGTATGTATGTTGTAAGATTGTAACATGTTGAAGCTTCAATGAAAGAGTCATTTACCCCTTCCCGGATATTTCGTTCAGTATTCTCCTTCCAACGTGATGTTGGAAGACACAGATTACTAGCCAGGTTGGTCAAGCTTCTAAAAATCAGCTTATACTTTGAGAAAGTGTTTTTTTTTATCAAAAGTACTTAATTTGAAAACCACTTTCCCGCAATAATTAGTGTTTGGCCAAGTTATTAAAAGGTACTTCTAAATATATTTTCCTGAAAAGTATTTTTCAAAAAAGTTTTTAAAAAAGTGCTTTTATGGAGAAATGACTTTTTCTATCAAGCTTGTAGCACTTTGACACTTTTTAGTAGCCAGATAAATGAGACTAGCTTTAAGTATAAGCTCTGTTTACATAAACTTTATAAAATGACAACTACACGAGAAAGCACTTAAAGTATAATAGATGAGACGCGCAATCAAGAAGTAATCCGTTTCTAAAGAAATACATGACATATTGATTCATAAGATTTATTTATAATTTTTTTTTTGGTTAATGAAAGTTTGAATGTTAGGAAAAGATACTTTGATCCAACTCTTCTTTTAACCGTTTTTCTTTTTTGGGGAAAGGAGTAGCCATATTATATAGTACTCTCTCCGGTTCATTTTATTTTTTTGGTTGTTCACACATTGAGTAATTCATTTCTTAACATTAATTAACAATTAAATTGACGATATTAACCTTACACTCTGTTTAAATTACTGTTTCACATCGTTTCATAATGTATTATATTGTATCATTTTATGAATACAATATTTGGATAGATTGTATTATTTGTTATTGCTAAATAATATTTTGTTGTTCAGTTTGACTGTATCGTACTGTACTGTAATTGATAAGTTTACTAAAATACCCTCAATTATTTAAATATGAAATTTTATAAAAAATTATGTATAAAAATAATTTAAAACACAAGAAGTCAAAACACCTTAAGAAAGCAGAACAAAGGATGAGATAGAAGAAGGCAAAACAAAGGAGCCTATCTAGTTAGAATTAAGTTAAAAGCAAATTAGGAGAAAAAATAAAACAGAAGGCGGCAAAACACCTTTCACGTTGGCGGTAGAAGTTCTGGAAAAAAAACAAAGTAGGTTATAGGTTGGAGATTTGGAGTTAAAATAGAAAAAGAGGTAAAGGATAAAATAGAATTGTAAAGTAATAAGTTAGGACATAATTGGAAAGAAAAATAGGAAATAATCTCACCACACCAAATCGGTTGTTTAAAAAAAGAGGACTTTTCATTGTTCCGAAACAATAGATTTAACAACACAATACAATCAATTTAATGAGACAATCAAAATAAATATTATTTTAGAATAATAATACAATACGATACAACGGAACAACCATCCTAACAAGTTGTTACTTAGAAGCCAAATCTGTATGTCCTTTTCTTGAAACAAAACAAAAATAAAAATGATAACCCTAGAAAATAACACTCATATTTATTGCGGAAAGGGGGCAAATATTAAATTAAAATATTATAACAAAAAAGGTACACCACCGAACCGTTCATCAACCTCGGCGAATAAACCCTCTCGTCTTCCGTCTAGGGATGACAATGGGGCGGGGCGGGGGGTTGAACGTTAGTGGGGCAGTGCGGGTTTGAGATTTTGCGGTTGCGGGCGGGGCGAGTTCAATTTTTAAATTAAAAAAATAAGAATTTTTACTACCTATAGCAAATGTTAACACCTTATTTATTTTAAATAAATATCATTTAAAAAAATTATATTATATAGATACCTTTTAAGGTTTATAGCAAAATGTTTAATTTTGGGTACCTTAGAGCCCTAAGCCACTAAATACGCTATTCAGTTACACTATTTTCTTTCTTTCTCTACTTTGATACATCTCATTCTCTTCTCCCATTCCCTGAAACACGATGCTCAATCTCAACATTCCTCTCACCCACACTATTTTCTTTTCCTTCCGATCAATTCTTGCACCGAATATTGAATTACGATTTAAAAGCAAATCAATCCCTAACCAAAACTAACTGATTTGGGAAAGGGAGTTAAGCAACGTTTGAACTTTGACAGATTTCACCTTAGCGGAGGCTTTGGATACAGCGGCCGATGGAGCAGCGGCGACGGAACAGTGGACAGTGGACGGCCGAGATTGAATCTTTTGGGTAGCGGGTAATGAAAAAAGGTGTCGCCTGTTATACCTTCAAATCTCAAAGTTGTCGCGTGTTGTACATTCAAACGCTACTATGGCGAATTCGCCAAAAATTAGGGTTTGTTTTTGAACAAAGACGATGGAGTTTGGGGCTGAGCAACTTGATTTATGTTAATATATTTCAATGTATTTTCATGTATTCATTGTCTTTTTTTCATTGTAATTCAATGTATCTCGTTGCATTCCACGTATTTCATGTATTCACTGTCTTTTTTTCATTGTATTTCAATATATCCCGTTGTATTCTATGTATTTCATTGTATTAACTGTCTCGTTATATGCCATGAATGTATTCATATGTTTTTCTTAATTAAAATAATTTATGTATTCAAATGTATTATATAATTTCTCTGAAGATTACTATGTTTTGGGGTATTTTTCGGTTGAGAATCTTTTTTATAACTGAAAATACAAATTTTGTGCGTTATAATTGAGTTTGTTGAGTTATGTTAGGAGTCTATTATGTTAATTGATTCATTTTCCGTTTTAAAAACAGCGTAATCCCCTATTTCACGCCGTGAATACAGTCGAATACTGTCCAACTGTAATCCCATGTTTCACTCCATGAATACAGTCGAATACACTCGAATACAACAACTAATTAGTTGGACTTTCGTGACTCGCGCCTATTTTTGCTACTGTATTCATGAATACAATAACTTAAATACATCAAATACATCTTATAACCGCAAAAAAGTATCCATAATCCGTAATATGATATATATAGATGACTAATTATTATTAAAATATACTGCTTTATAAAAATTTCTCAAAAAAAAAAATGCGGGCGGGTCGCGGGTGGGGATTTAATTTTAAAAGGCTGAATAATATTTAAAACCCTAGTCCCAAATACTCCCAATTTCACTCAGACTTAAACGCCTCATCTCTCATTCTCTCTCAGACGACGGACGCAGAGACGCTCCTTCGTCCTCGTGAATAGGTACTCGTCGTCGACTCTCAAACTCTTGTCTCAATTTTTCTCTCAAACTCTTGTCTCAATTTTTCTCTCAAACTCTTGTTTTTCGGCCGTAACACGGTGTTTGATTCTCCAGCGGTTCTTCAATTCTCAGAAGGTGGACCGTCGGCGACTTTCTCCTGTTTGACTCTCCAGCGGTTCTTTTCTCTGCCTTTTTATTTTCTTGAATTTCTGTTTATTGTTGATTGCTGAATTTGATTCTTTTTGGTGAAATATTGTCTTCTTTTTTTCTTCTGAAGATTATTTTTATTGGATTGATTTCCGGATTCTGAAAATAGTGATAACTCCTGTAAGCTCAAGTTTATAGTAGCTTAATTTAACTCATTGATGTAGCTTAATTTAAGGCTCATGTCAATTTATGTTGAAATAAAACTAAAATTTTGTCAATAATGCTGTTGATTATAGTTGACATGTGAATTACATACTTATATTACATCTAAAGATAAACGGGCTTGTCTCATTATTGCTGATTTTTAGCTCACAGAGTTGCAACTTGCAAGCATTATTCTGTTGTAGTTGTATGTAATGTAATTATTTGACTCTTTTGGATCAAACTGAGTATAACTGACTAATTTGGATTTACTAATTAATTGACTCTTTTTTCATTTTCCATGTGCACTTAGAAATGTCTCATAATATTAATTTAGCTTATTTTTTGTAGAAAAGTATGGAGTCTCAAAATGAAGAGAATCCGGTTGGTTCATCTTCTAGTACTTTTCCTATAGAGAGTGACAGTCAATTGCCTATGCAAGTCGATGAAGTTGTTGATGAAACTGGGAAAAGAAAACTTATTTCTGACGCATGGAATCATTTTACACCTGTGATGATTAATGGTGTTCGTTTTGGTGTTTGTAAGTATTGTAATACTCGTATCAAATCAACAAGAAATTGTGGGACATCGTCCATGTTAGATCATATCCGTAGTCGATGTCGCAAAAAGCCAAGTAACTTAGACAATGAGGAATTTAGCAAAACATAAAAGTATGGCCAATTAGTAATTGCCAAAACATAAACACGTAAAAAGTTTGGCCTATGTAGTAAAAAATCAAATTTAAGTCTAGCTTTCTAAAAAAGAAAGAAATTTTATTAAGAAAAAAAATGCGGGTGCGGGGCGGGCGGGTGAATACTGGTGGAGTGCGGGCGGGTTTAAATCCTATGCGGGGCGGGGCGG